CCACCGCCGCCACCACCACCGCCCCCGCCCCTGCCACCTCCCCCGCCGCTGCCGCCACCACCCCCACCGCTGCCACTAGTCCCTCCAGCCCCACCACCACCCCCACCGCCGCCACCGCCCCCACCACCGCCTCCCCCGCCGTCACCTCCGCCTCCCTTGCCCCCTTTGCCCTTGCCGCTGCGGCGCCAGCTCGGAGCGGACGCAGTCCCGACCTTCTCAGCACCAAGGAGGTCGACAGCAGCAGCAGAGGCTACAGAGGGAAGAAGGGGGGAAGGGGAACACCCCTCAAAGAAAGGGGTGCGGGGGTCGCCACGAGAGGCACCTACAGCGACTATGCTAGCCTCAGCTGCAAGTAGTTCCTTCTCGAGGAGGGCAATGGTGAGCTCAGTGGGGCAGCGAGCTAGGAAGTGGTCCCTGACTGCACGCAGAGTGTCAGGGAGGCGGGTGACTAGGTGGTAGAGAGTGAGCCAAAGCGGGGGGGGGTTCTTGGCAAGAAACTCATCGGGCATAGCGGCACGGAAGCGGGCCTCACTAGTACGGAGGTGCGTGATGAGGTCAGCGACTGTGTGGAAAGAGGACAGGTCGGGGAACAGGTAGGGGAGTGAGAGACGGCCTAGTGCGGCAGAGGCAGGTGAGGAGTAGCGGGCAACGACAGCAGTGTACAGTGCCTGTGCAGTCTTGTGCTGGCCAAAGTGCTCGCCCTCATCTATCGGCAGGGAGTTGCGAATAGCAAAGCGAGCGTGGGCGTCACGAGTCTGCCACTGTGAGCGGGTAGTGCTGTCAGCAGTAGCAGCAGGGGCAGTGGCATGGCCTAAGGCGTGATCGTACAGTGAGATGTCCTCCTTGGCAGTGAGCTGTAGGAAGAGGTGCAGGTCATCTAGCCAGGTGTCAAACTTCACTGGGCGGCCCTCAGCATCGAAAGCTAGCACAGGAGGGCTAGCCATAGTAGCAGTAGGAGCAGTAGCAGTAGTAGCAGCAGGAACAGCAGTATAGTCAGTAGCAATGACAGTAGCAGTGGCGCGGCTCGGTAGGGCGGCGCGGCTCGGTAGGGCGGCGCTGCTCGGGAGGGCGGCGCGGTTCGGTAGGGCAGCGCGGCTCGGGCCAGGGGAGGCGGCTCGGTTCGGCGGCGGCAGCTACGCGAGGTGGGGCACGCAAGGGCGTGCAGGGCAGAGTGGGGCCGGTCCGCTCGGTGCACTAAGTGGCGGGCTAGCGAGGAGGTGGCCGGTACGCGAGGGGCACGCAAGGGCGCGCGGGTGGGCGTGAGCCGGTCGCACTGGGCACGAAGTGGCGGCTAGCGAGGGCGGGGCCGGTACACGAGGAGCACGCAAGGGCGTGCGGGTGGGTGGGGGGGGGGGCGGTCGCACGGGGCACGTAGGGGCGTGCGCTAAGGGGCGGGGCCGGTCTGTAAGAGGCACGCAAGGGCGCGCGGGGCAGCTAGCGCGCGGGGCCGCACAGGGCACGTAAGGGCGCGCGGGGCTAGGCGGGGCCGGTCGCAAGAGGCGCGCTAGGGCGCGTCGACGGCGTGGGTGGCTACACGGTCGCGCGCACCAGAAAAAAAAAAAAAAAAAAAAAAGGGCCGCGCGGGCAAAAATAGGCCGCGCGCGGGCGGCTAGGGGGCGACGCGACTGAAAAGCGAGGCGCTCGAGGGCGCACTAGAAGCGAGGCACACGAGGGCGCAAGTAAGAGAAGGCGCACGAGGGCGCCACTAGCGGAACGGTGGGCCCTTAGGAACGGTAGGTCCTAGGTTCCTAACCTAGGCTCGTAATACCATGTTAGAATTGAGAGAAGTGATTGAACTAGGAATGAGGGGGATACAAGTAGGAAACCCTAACAAGTTGTACCCCCTAAGGCTAAACCCACTATAGCCTACACAATATAAACATATAATGTTTGACAACCACCTCGGAAGTGCTTAGCGATAGTACGCACGAAATTCAACGACTTCTTTGTTGACGATGTTTTGCCCTGCGACCCCCTTCCTCCCCTCCACCACCCCACTTCTACGCTAGCTGAAGGTATGCTGATGACTCCTGAGCATGCTCCTGCCCGCTGCTAAGTAATAGGTTGGCATCCGCCTTTGTGACATTAGGGCTCGCATACATACCGTCATCGCCCGGATATAAGACATATATGTCTTATCTTATACACTAGAAACAATGCTTGGATTGTCTTGTATTTGGGACGGTTTAGGGTGTCTTATACGTCTTATAAATGGGAAAAAAAAATATGAAACGTGTAACATTTGCAAAGTGTGTAGAAACCACCCAGGGCCCAGATTCATTGAATTCGGCCGACCTCGGTGGTGATGCATGCGTCGCCACCACATGCCACGTGAGGGATGCAGCAAAGCTGCCTGTGCTGGCAACATCCCTCCATGCTGGTAGCATCCATTGATGGTGCCAGCGTCGTTTTGCTGCCAGCAGCGCATGGATGCTTCCAAAACGCTGCTGGCAGCATGATGGCAGTGTGAGGGCTGACATGTGCTGTCCTCTATGAGGAGATTCCTCGTAGAGGAGCGGCTCGGCAGCCTTTGGAACGGGCACTCTGGCTGGGGGGGGTAGTCGGGCTTGAGCTTGATTTTGTGCTCAAGAGGGTTGAGATTAGCTCAACCTTTGCTCTCGGCAGGCTCAACCATGCGCAGCAAAGTCCCTATTGGCACGGCCTCCCCTCGCCCTCACTTCCAGGTGAACAACTACGGGCGAATCAACTCGTCCGTTGATGACATCCATGTAGCTATGACGAAAGATACGTGCAAGGCGGGATGCTCAACCGCCACCTCAGGTGCGAGCTATGACGAAGACGACGGCGAAGAAACATGGCGACGACGGCGAGGAGGATTGGGCGGAGAATGGCCACGACGACAGCACGTCAAGGGATGAAACCCCTGCTGGTAGCATCGACGACGCCGAATGGTGGAATTGGCCAGTTGGCGAGGCTGATATTGGCTGGTGACTCGGACAACGACGTAGCTGCGGATGCTAATGGTGAGCACGCTGAGGCAGCGGCGCATGCAACGGTGCAAGCCCCTGCGGCGGCTACGGCGGAATATGTGCCTGTGGGTACGGCGGTGTATGCGGAGGCGGTTGCGGATGCAGATGCAGACGACGAAGCGGAAGCGGAAGCGACGACGGAAGTGGAGGCGGAAGCGGATGCGGATGCGGTTGCGGCCACAGATGTGGAGGCAAATGCGGGTGCGGAGGCGGATGCGGATGCTGCGAAGGGAGGTGTTGATGCGGTCTTCTTCGACAGTGAAGAAGAGGAAGACGAACCGTGGCGCATCACGGCGGACGACGACGTTCCTGTGCTGAAACGGAGGCTCCGTCATCGCCTTCAACCCAAGAAGAAGCGTGCCCGTGTGGTGCTCTCCGATGACGATAGTTCGGGGGAGGAGCGTCAACCGCGCCTCACTGCTGCAGACAAGGGAAAAGCCAAGGTCGTGGAGGTCCCTGCCAAGGCCACTGTACGTCGCCGCACAAGCAACAAGAAGCGTAAGAACGACGGCGACCCTAGTTCCAGCACGGGTGCTGCTAAGAAGAAAAAGAAGACGCCAAACAAGGACGACATCGTGGTCAACGAGGCGCTCGGCAGCAACGGTGACTACACGGAGGCTGCATGCCCGATTCCTTCATTCCCTGAGAAGGCGAAGCCGAAAGACCCCACCCTCCGTAATCCCAACTCCTGTCCCTCTTCCCCTGGCAGCAAGGATACTAAGAAAACGAGGCGCGGCTAGAGCGTACACGAAAAACTCAAGTGGGCGCACCGCTACCAGGAGCTCGGATCCCTCAAGAAGACCTCCGTGGAATCCACCGCGTCCATCACCTGCATCAGACGCTGGAGCTCGGAGGTTGCAATGGGCCTTTACAAGGGAGCGGCGAACTGCCGCAAGCGGATGCACGGGGCGAGCCGCCAGTCACACTATCCCGACATGGAGGCGGCTTTGTACCGCTACATATGCCTGCAGCGCGTGAATGGGGTGGCGATCACGGTGAAAGTCACGTAGAAGTGGAGCTGCGAGTGGATGAAGAAACACCACCCCGGGAAGAACTGGGACGCAAACTCACACTGGAGCCAGCGGTTCCGTGACCGCTGGAACTTGGTTATGCGGGTGAAGACCAAGGTCGGCCAACGGTTATCTGCCGGTAAGTGGTTAAGGGAGTGAATCCGCGCTTGATTCTTGACTGTATGTGCCTAGAACTCTAATCACCTCTCATGTTTCTACCCATCCGCTCCTGCTGTGCGGTGTTTTTCCTGCGCAGAGTGCGCTAAGGACTCCGAGTCTTTTTGGAAGTTCGTGCGCATCAACAGGGCGCGGCACAACATCGACGCGGCCCGTATCATCAACGCGGGCTAGACGCCTCTCTTCGTTGAGATGTCGGCCGAGAGGACGATCGAGCACTGTGGCGCGCGCCCGGTTTCAATCCGCAGGGCAGGATATGAGACGACGCGGCTGACGGTGATGCTTGCGTGCACCGCCTCCGGGGAGAAGCTCCGCCCGTGGGTGTGGTTCAAGGTGAAAAACGTGCCGAAGTGTGACATTCTGGACAGTAAGCTTATCGAATTCTGCTTTCCAAGAGTGTAGAGCTTGCTCTTCTTGCCTGACCCCCCTCTCTCCCCCTGTGCCTGGCAGGAGTCGTGTGCCAAGCACAGGATAGCGGGTGGATGGACGAGAGCGCTGTGCAGATCTGGCTGACCAAGGAGGTGCTGCCCCATCTCAACCCCCAGCGCGGCCATAACGCGAGGCGTGCGATGCTGGTGTTGGACTCCTACCGAGGCCTCATCACCCAGGGCATGCTCCAAGCCTACCGTACGCATAGCATCACCCCTGCAGTAATCCCAACAGGTTACATGAGCCAGGTTTAACCCCTGGACGTCTCCATCAACCGGTGCTTCAAGGCCGCGGTGCGCGCACGCTATGCCAGGTGGTTTATGCGTGAATGGATTCACCTGAAGATGAAGAAGGGTGAGTAAAGTTCATGCAAGTTCAGCCTTGTTACCCCTTCATGTCCTGTTACACCTTCATGTCTCTAACGGCGTGCTGTCCCTGCCTCTGTCCCACTCTTAGGAAACCTGCAGAGGCCTCCACACCCCGTGGTGCTGCAGTGGATTGCGGAGGCATGGGATTAAGTCCCCAAGCAGGTCATCATTGACGCGTTCCGCCACTGTGGGAGTTCAAGCAAGCTGGACGGGACGGAGAACCACCTTGTGATGTCTCACCTACGCGCGAGGAGCACCACCGATGTCTCTGAGGACATGTGCCTCGGGGGGACCACAGGCGACAACACGCGCCTGCTTGGGCAGGCTCTTGAGGAGGAGGAGGAGGAGGAGGAGGAGGAGGAGGAGGAGGAGGAGGAGGAGGAGGAGGAGGAGGAGGAGGAGGAGGAGATGCAGGCGGAGAGCGTCAGGGAGGTGGCCGTGGCAACCGGCCTGGAGGTGCTATACAAGGAGACCCCCAACTACCGCGGAGCGACGGCCGAGGCTGACCGCATGGCCGAGCCAAGGCAGGCGGCTAGGCATGCCTGGCGAGTGCCAGACCTGGGTGTTAGGGAGCCTGATGTTCATGCAGATGAGGAGGTTGTGACGGAGGGGGGCTAGGTATAAGTAGAAATTCATGAATGTATGCATGTACCCTCGAGAAGGAACTAAGGGTCGTTTAGAGGACACCCCCCCCTTCATAAACCCCGAAACCCTTGTTCTGATTACATGACACTGTCTTAAGTTGTACACATATTTAGGTGTCTTATAATGAGGAACACCCGTTTATAAGAGACACCCGTTTAATAGACACCCCCTATCTTCTATTCAACACTGTTTTATATCCGAGCGATGACGGTAGTTGTAGGAAGCGCGGATTTCAAGTTCTGAATTTGCCCTGCGCCCGTGATCGTTAAGGGCTAAAAACAGTCACCTACGCGAAAATCAGGGCCAAAGTTTGAGCAGCTCAGGACTCGATGTGTTGGTCCCATGGACTTCGACAGGCCTGTTTCGAACGTTAAGAACTGAATTTGCAACACATCCGCTTGCTAAAATAAAAATCGTTACAGTACGTTGACACATGTGCAATTCTAACATTGTAACATGCGCTTATAATATATCAAAAATTATAGGGGGTGCGCTTATAATTGAGGATCGGCCATAAGCGCATTGCTCCTGTTGGGCTGAGAAAAAGCCCTTAGGATCTTTGCAGGGCTGAACTATGGGTAGGACTTGTTGTAATTAGCGGAAGCTTAATAAGAAGTGTTTGAACCACCTTGCGCTGGTATGTGAGGGCAAAGTAGATTGGTTAAAACAGAGAGATACAAGTTTTTATAAGAGTACAAGGAATACGAAGAGATACAGTTAATAACCGTTTTACTGTTGCTGTTGCGGTTCGATACAGTGACGACTCGGGCAACTGCTCAATAACGAGTCAGTTGTTTGTCCTTGCTGTCGCGCTGTATTTGTCAGGTCAAAAGGCGCTGACCTTTGACTTTCGCGTAACCTCTAGCAACTGCTCAACCTCCGAGGGTTGACTCGCCGGTGCTTCGATATACTTCGCTTCGCTTCTGACTTGGTGTTTCGACACGACAGAGGCGCTTTAGAGTTAATTGTTTCCAACACTCCCCTTCGCTTCTGGAGTGTCGCTGCTGGTGACGTGGCTCTGTCCAGTCAGCAGCATGCAGTACTCGAACTTCTGCTTTCCGAGCTTCTTGGTCAAGTAGTCAGCTGCCATCTCGGATGTGGGGCAATAATACAGCTCGAGTCTCCCCTTCTCGATCTCGTCCTTCACGAAGAAGTATCGCAGGGCGATGTGTTTCGTCCTGTTCGCGAAGCAGTTCTTGTTGGCTATGCGAATTGCCGACTGGTTGTCGCAGAACAGGGTGAAGCAGGGTAACTGAGCTAGCTTTGCTTCTTCCAACAGTTCGCGAAGGTAGAGTCCTTCCTTGGTGGCTGAGCAGAGTGCGATATATTCCGCTTCGGCTGATGAGAGGGCGATTAGTTCCTGCTTGCTTGACTGCCAGGAGATAGGTCCGATAGGTTCGAGGCGGTAGATGTAGCCGGTGCGTGAGCGCCTGTTGTCGGAGTCGCCGGCGTGATCTGCGTCGACGTAGCCGATTAGCTTAGGTGTCGGGGTCCCGTTCTTGTGGTAGGTCAGGCCGATCGTTGGGGTGCTGACGAGGTAGTGGAGAGTGCGGTCGAGCTCCGCCATATGTTCTGCTTCAGGTTTCTTGAGGTAGGTCGCAAGCTGGCTTGCGGAGTACGATAGGTCCGGGCGGCAAGTGACGGCTGCGAAGAGAAGACAGCCTAGCTTTCTTTGGTAGTCGCGTATGCCGGCGGGCTTTAGCGGAGTGGATCCTTCCTTGTTGTTTCCTGCCGCGTAGCGATATGGCGTGGAGATGGTGGTCGGCGTGAGTGCGAAGCGTTTAGCAATGGTGTCGGCGTATTTCGCGGCGCTGAGGTAAATTGCCTCTTCTTCTTCCTGAATGTTGAGGCCGAGGTATTGCGTGACAGTAGATGAGACTGTGAGAGTGAGATCCTTCTGCAGCTCCCCTTCGAACCAGGTAGTGACACCGTCGGTCGAGCCGATGTAGAGAAGATCGTCCACGTAGACGATGAGTAGAATGTAGTCGGTTCCTTTTGTGAGCCGGTACATGCCCTGATCGTGCGGTAGTTGGTGAAATCCGATGCGAACGAGTCGGGCGTGGAGGTACTGCTGCCACAGTCTCGGGGCTTGCTTGATCCTGTACAGGGATTTCAACAGCTGACAGACGTGGTTGGAGTCCGTGCTGGAGCCATGTGGTAGCTCAACGAAAATCTCTGCGTCGACGGGTGCGTAAAGGAAGGCGTTGGCGACGTCGATTTGCCGCAGCTTCTTCTTCTTCATGGCGGCGATCGCGAGAAGGATTCGTAGTGAGGTGTGTCGGCTGACTGGGGCGAATGTCTCGGTGAAGTCGCGTCCGTGTTCCTGGTCGAAGCCGCGTACAACCCAGCGTGCTTTGAATTTGTCGATGGTGCCATCTGCTTTTGTTTTCACACGGAAGACCCACTTCCCGGTGAGTATAGTCTTGTTTCGTGCCACTCCGATGGGAACAACTTTCCAGGTGTTGCGTTCCTTCAGTGCTTTCAGCTCCTTGTCCATGGCTTCGCGCCACTTTTTCTTATGCTCCCCCCCCAGAGCCTGCTGCACTGTGGCAGGCTCCTTAGGAATCGCAGTGTCGTGGACCGCGGTGACGAGGCCAAGTATCTGGAGGCCACTCTGTGTGTAGCGGGGGAGTGTGGTGTCCGCGGGATAAGCTGCTTCGTCACCTGCTTCTGGGTCAGGTATGAAGTTGGGCCCTATGCGTTCTGCTTCGTTGGTGTTGACTTCTGCAGGTGTAACGTAACCGTTGTCGGCGAAGTGGTAAAATACTTCGGCGTTGGCGCTTTCGCGAGGGTTTTCGTCATCCATTGGGACATCGACAGAGCAGTAAGGGAGAGGTCCGGCTTCCTCCGAGGCTGCGTCCACGTTCTGCTCGTCCCAGTCAGCTTCGTCTGCTGCCGAGGCGAAGGCTCGGTCACCATGGAAGCCACCTGTGAGGTCCCGATCTTCTTCCAGGTTGGCAAGGTACGTCGGAAGGGTGAGTCATTCGTAGAAAAGGACATCACGTGCTGCTACTGTTTCCTTGGAGTGGACGTCGAAAATCCTCCATGCGTTGTAATTCTTTTCGATGCCCAGGTGTAGTCCCCACTGTGCGCGTTGGGAGAATCGGCCGGCTCGTGCAGATGGGGGTCGGTACTGTACCATGCAGCCGAAGACTCGTAACATTTTTGTGCTGCCCAATTTTCCTGTCCACAGCAGATGCGGTGATGCGTTGTTTGGAAGTGATGATGACGAAAGCAAGTTGTGTAGCATGACGGCGTGGTCCATTGCTTCGGGCCACTGGTGGTTGGGTAGTCGCATGCCACGTAGCAGTTTGCGCATGGTGTTCTGGAGGGTCCTGTTCATCCTTTCTGCTACACCCTGCTGTTGATGGGCGTAAGGAAGGGAGATGAGCCTCTTGATTCCCTTCTCTGCCAGGTAGTCCTTGAAGCGTTGTGAGGTGTATTCTCCTCCTCCGTCTGACTGGAAGCTCTTTAGCTTCACTCCGGATTCTCGTTCTGCTGCTGGAAGCCAGGCGACGAAGGCTTCGAAAGCCATGTCGCGACTCGGAAGGTTCAGGTGCCAAACGTATCGGGTGGCAGCGTCGATGAAGGTGATGGTGTAGTTGTAAGCTCCTTGTCCTGGTACGCGATTGTACAGGATGTCGCTGTACACCTTTTCGAGCGGTGCGTATGCTGGTGCACTCGGGTTGTGGTGAGGGACAAACGGCTGATGCGGTAAGTCGGCTTCAGGACATGTGAAGCACGTTCCTTTTACTCGTTGGAGTTCTCTCCCGTCGTGTAGTAGGAGCGAATCTTTGTCGAGCACTCCTGCTCTTATCGTGTTGTTTAACGTTGTGTTGCTTGGGTGTCCCATCCGTGCATCCCAGATTTCTTCGCTGGCGCGGTGTCCGGGTGAGCGCCGATACATGTCGGAGTTGGAGTAGAAACCGGTGGTGAAGTTGGCGCTTCGGTGGACTTCTCGTTGAGTTGGAGCCAGCTGCTGCGCGGGTGTCGTTGGTGTATCGTCGATGAAGACTGGTGCCGTTGAGGGGCCAGCGATTGGTGTCGTTGTTGTTGCTGCTGCTGTCGTTGTTGTCTCTGGTGCTGCCGATGTTGCCTCTGCTGCTGCCGATGTTGTCTCTGCTGCTGCCGATGTTGTCTCTGCTGCTGCCGATGTTTGTTGAATTGTTGCTAACGCTCTTGTTCGTTCTGCCTCAGGGATGGTGTGCGAGTACCAGAATCCTTCGGGGCTGAAGTCGGGGTCAAGATCCGGTGGATGTGTCCAGGAGGTGAAGGTGACGATCCCGTCGCTGTCAGCGGTGCCGAGATCTGGGACGAAGTCGAGGACGAAGACATTATTTTTTAGGATCGCCTTCCCGATGTAGAGACCGCCTCTTCCGTGGTACAACTTGAACTCCTGAGTGGTACTATCTGCTTCGAGGTGTATGCCCTTCGCCATCAATTGACTGACGCTCAGTAAGTTGTAACCGAGCCCTTCTGTTATTAAGACCTTTGACATCTGCAGTATGACGTTTGTTTCTCGTGACTGAAGTTGCACTATGCCTTGTCGTCGTGTGCGCAGGTTCTGATTGTTGGTGACGGTGATGACGACCTCGCGTTGAAGTTGATGTTCGCGTTGAACAAAGCGTCCTGAAGAGCACATGTGTTGTCCGCAGCAGCTGTCCAAGAACCACGTATCTTTTCCGGACGGTTCACTTTGGGCGATAGCTGCATACGTTGGATTCGGTTGAAGTGATTCGCGGCGGGGCGTACTGTTGTCGAGCTGTTCTTCCGGTGAGTAGTGTGGCGGTGACTCGGTGATGCAGGAGTCGGTCAGTCTTGCCATACAACTGACCATGTTTCTTGCTCCTTGTGCAGGTTGTCCCGTTGATGTCGTTTGAACTTGAGCGGTGGGGTTCGCTTGTGTTGAAGCGACTTGGCTGCTTGAAGGTCGAAGCTTTCGCTGTGGCGGTGTTGAGTGTTGTCGATTCGGG